CCATCAACCTCACCAGGCCTATTAATTCATTTAGAAAACCTACTATGTATTTATACAAATAACATACTTTTATGAAAAATAACTTCCAAAGCAAAAAATAAGTTTAACTGGAAGAATAGTATGTCCTGCACTTGTCTTCAGTGTCTGGTTTGGAAGACAGCTGAGTCTTGTATCTAGTTCTACATTCAGTCATTGTAATGTCATACTCAGGCAGCCTTTGAAAACCTCATGCAGAAAATGAGAACGAAAATAACTAATTCTGGGACTCGAGAGATAGCTCAGTGGTTAAGAGCACTTGCCCAGAGGACCTGGATTTTGTTCCCAGCACCCTCTTCTGGCCTCTACAGGTACCTACACATACCTGCATGCATGTGATGCACATACATACTCAGGCACACATACATACACATAAAATAACTTTTTAATCTTTTTTTCCAGTATATGTCTGAGTTTATTACTGTTATAATAAAAAGGTGCTGGATGAATAATGCAACATCTACAAAAATCAATGCACCATTTAACCCCCGGATTTAGTATACTCTCCGGCACACAGCTAGTATAATATATGCCCCCCTCCCAGCAGTCTTCCAAATGTCTCAATGACATTTAATTCAGTGGCCCACACCCATACCCTACTCATTCACACACTGCGTCTTCCTTCCCCTCCCTCTTTCCCTTCGCCGATCCTCTACCAGTATTTCCAGAATCATCTCCACTGTACCTTTTATACATAAATTTTTTAAACAAATCTTTTTTTAAAAAAAACATATTATGTTAGCTTTATTAATGTGAATAGTTCTGACTTCACAGCCACCTGTAATGTGTTAGGGTTCCAAATAGCAGCAGTTTCCCCCCTCCCCAACAGGGACCTCACCTTGACCTTTGGAGTCAAGGGAAACAAATTCTGCTGAGAAGCAGCCTGCCTTTTCTTTGCCCTCCAAAGATAAGATAAGCAGATTCTACCTGATAACCAGATATTTTAGAAGCTGTTTATCACAACAAGCTTT